GAGACTGTTTTTGAGTTACCTGGAAAGAGGGGAGTACATGACTTGGCAATTTGAAAACAGGAAAAAAATGTGATATTTTGTTTCCAACCATGAGCTGAATCCTCAAAGACAAGATATGCAAGTTCACAGGGAAGGTCCCATATGGTGTTATATATGAACACTGGGGGATTCTCTACTTTGAACTTCAGAGAGTGAAAACTATTTGGGATCTATGCAAACACCTTAGCATGAGATAATTTCTATAATTAACATAGTTATGTGATTAAAACCCCAACAATGCTTCACCCTCTCATAGCACAGGAAACTAGGTCACGGTACCCCTCAGGTGCTCTCTCAGCCCGGGTGTATGGACATAGGTTGAAATCAAACAAAATGCCATTTACTTCTCTTACAACTTCCCAAGAGCAACGCTCCCTGAATTGGCACAAGCAAAGTCATTGGCACAAGCAAAGCACAGTCTTGTTAAATTTATCTTTAATCACCTTGGAGATAAAGAGAGGAAAAATGCTACCTCACCATGTCCTGTGAAGAGAAAATACTTCAGAATAAACCATTTTCTTCAGTGGTTTATGATGACATCAAATCAAGCCTAGAAGAAACATTAGACAATAAATACAGTACAGTCATAACTTCTTCTTACATCATGGCCAATAAAACCTTCAACAGTGGTAGTTAGTGGGAATAATTCTTATTATCCACCATGCAACACGGAAAAGTTTCTATTTGTAGAATTTTTAAAACTAGGTAAATCTTTTTTTTTTTTTTTCCAAATATAGTTTTAGCAGATTGGAAATGTCCTTTAAAGCATTAAGTCTACTATGGAAACATTTTATATGTGTGTATTTATATGTAAATAAATAAAGGAATGATTGTTATTTTTTAAAGAAAAAATGGCGAGTCATTATGTCTGGTTCCTCATTCTAAGTACAAAAAGTCTAGTCACTCCCTCCCTTTTACTGCCTCATCTTTTTAAAGGTAGAAAGCAGGTGGAGCTAGGGTATGTGGCTCTGCAGGGAGCGCCTTCCTATGGCAGAAAGCGTGGTGGTTAAGGGTATCTTCCTTGGAGTCAAGGCTGTCTGGATTAAAGTTCTGATTGTACTACTTCTCCACGCATAATGTGGGCAAACTGCTTAGCTTCTTTGAGCTTCGGTACCCTCATCTGTAAAATGGCACTCAAAACAGTATGAGATTGTACTGTCTTTGCTTGGATTAAACGAGATAGTAGCCAGAAAGAACTCCCATTGAACCTGGCACATGGCTCTCTCAGTACTTTTAGGAGTTGTTGCTAGTCCTAGCCAAAGGAGGGCATACTCTCTGTTGAACGATCTGAAGAACTAATAATAGAGAGGTTAATTATGTGTGCTAGCGGATTAAGGTTTCCTGAAGGAAATCAGTGGCCAAATGTGTGGAAGGATGGCGAGGAAGAAAAGTCTTATAGGACATCTCTATCTTACTTCATCGGTGGCTGAAAATGCGCCCTCTTGTAATTTGCCTCATGTCATTTCGTGGGCGGGAACTCACTGATCTCAGCTGCTGACTTCAAGAGGGCAGAGGACACTGCTAATATAAAAATGAGGAAGTTCAGTTCACGTCTGCTGGTGTCATCACATTCTCTGCCACACCGTTTTCTCATCAGTTTCCCTACAGGACAATTTATGTTTGGTCGTTTTCCAAAGCTCCTCACTGACTCGTTGATAATGTCCCAAGTCCCTGGCTTGGTGTTCAAGATTCTCTACAATCCGGACTCCAGAATTTTACCAAACATCCACTACATCCTTTCAGAGGATACTGCGATCCAGCCAAACAGAACTGTTTGCAGTCTTGTCATTTACTTCTCAAACCCCACTCCAGAGTTTGGCTCACGCCCTCTCCTCTCCCTGTGTGGAGACACCCTTGAAGCTCCAGCTCTTATGTCAACTCTCATGCATGCTCATGCCAGCAGGGTGGTCATCATTTATCTTATAAGCTCTTGCCCAATATTTTGTCCAGTAGCTTTCAAATTTTTAGCTGGAATCACAGGAACAAATATATTTTGCTTTGGCACATGTTTCATTTAAATCTATACACACACACACCCCTAAACAAAAGTTTTGTAAAGTTATTTGCAATATCATTCTAATATCGTCCCTTTTCTATTTCATTTGGCAAAAACTCTAACTATAATTCACTAAATAGATTTTGTTGTTTTTTTAATTCAATTTATTGGGATGACATCAGCTCATAAAATTATCTAGGATTCAAGTGTATAATTCTATGCAATATCATCTGTGTATTGTATTGTGTGCTCACCACTCAAAATTAAGTGTACGATGATGAAAGGAGATTTGATTTGGGGTGGTGGCCACTAAATAGATTTTAATTACTCTTTAATTGCATCATAACCTGCACTTGAAAAACACTGATACGTACAAAATATCTTTTATTATTTATTGTGTATAGCTGTTATTTTCCCTACCAGATTGAAAGCTACTCAAGGGTAATACTATGTGGTGCATTATAGAATCTTTTACTGTATTGAATCATAATTTTCATATTTGTTAATATGTGTTTGTGGAAGAAAAAAGGGAAGGAAGAAAGAAAGAAAGGAAGGGAGAGAGAGAAAGAGAAGGAAAGAGGAAATAAGACAAATATCTCTGGAGATGTTGATTATACTCAGAAGTTAATGTTGTTACTATTTTGGAAGTCAACAGATGGGAATCATTTAAGTTATTTACAAGAAAATTTTCCAGTCAATGTGGTATGTGCTTCTTTGAATAACTTCTTCAACTTCAATTTAAACTTAGAAATTAGTGTCATATCATGGACTCTAGGAAAGAAAGAAAGACAGCAAGAACAGTGACTAATAGAAAGACGATAACTTTGCCCATGCTATGTCCGTTCCCCCTGATGAATATTGCGGGAGGGAGAGGGGTGACGCCCAGCATGTGAAGTGTATCTGCAGAGGTGAAAAAAGCTTTGAACTTGATTTTCATAAAGCCTGTAAAAAGGCAGTTCTGCCATTTCTGAACATGCTGAACACATCGATATATGCTCAATACATCAAGCAATCCCTGTGCACTGTCTATAAACAAAGTTAGTGCTAAGTACTAACACCTCCAAGCACCTCACAAATACAAAGCAGCGATTTTCAACTGGTGTGCTGCAAGACTTTTTAGAATATGCAGTACCTGAGCTCTTTCCCTTAGATTGTTAAATGAAAAAAATGACAACAGCCAACACAATAATAGCCATCCGGTGTGAATGAATTAAAATTATACTTATTTTTTTGTCAGATTGGCAAAAACTATATTCTTTAGTGTGCCACAGAATTTTAGTAATTAAGTTCTGTGCCATGAAAGGCAAAAGGTTGAAACATTGCTGCTATAAAGTGAAATAGAAAATACAGTCTATTTCATGGCATCTGAAATATTACTTGTCACTGACATGAAAGATTACTGGTTTTTCCAAAATTCAAAAGAGAAAAAGTTTTAAAATTAACTTTATTTTTATTCACTATAACTGAACAAGTTAATATATTATATTTTAATGTGACAAAAGTTATAATTGATGAGTTTATATCTATAGTTGAAAAGATTACAACAAATATTTTAGTATGGCCAAAGACAATATTTGAATTTTACTATTTATGAAATGTAAAATGCATGATTATAATACCCAGGTTACATATCTTATTTTTTTTAATATTTTTATTTTTAAAAGTTTTTAATTACAGTTGACATTCAACATTTCAAAGAGGAATAGTTCAGATGAAATTTAAATTTGAGAAGTCATACTAATGACAGGCATTTACTGAGATGACATATCCAATTGGGATTTGAATATAAGTTTTTGTTATTGACAATTCATCCTCTTAACTAAATGCTATACTAACTCCATTGATTACATACAGAGTAACAACATACAAATAATGCAGGCTATGGACATAGATGCTTTTTCCAAGTCCTCTATAGACATTTGTTTGTTGTTTTTTGATCTTCGACCTAATAGTGAGTGTACAAAGAGCAACAAAATAGAGGATTAAAAAGCTTATATAAAATGCTAATCAATTATAATAATATTATGTGAAATAAATCTTTTATAAATCACTGAGAATTAACTCCTATATCACTTTGAAAAATTAATATTTTAATGGAAATTTTAAGAATTATTATTACATATTGACTTTTTATTGTCCAAAAAAAAAAATTATTAAAAGTGAATATAATATAGATCACAATTGCCGTTATTTCTGTGTTCTTTCTGTGTTCTTGGTTGTTATAATTTAGAGAAGTAAACCATTTTAAAATGCAGATTTATGGTGGCTCAGTGGCCAAAAATTGATGTATATTACAATATTAAAAATGTGTAGTAAAATATCCACTGCCCAAAGAGTGTCTATTTAATTATTTTATCTGACAACATTACGTTCCTTGACTTAAGAATATTGTTAAATTTTAAATTTACACATTTATTCCTCACTCGTTTTGTCAGATACTATTTTGTTTCAGACCCACAGACTGCTCCTGCCAGCCACCTTGAAATTCATACCACTGGTGACAAGCAGATGGAATGGTGTATGAATACTAAGCTCATGGTTGAATTCATAACAATTAAAAAATTAATTTCAAATTCATGCCCTATTGGTTGCATTAGCAGCAATATACATACAATTCATCTTATTTAACTATAATAGTCTATTGGTTGACAAAAATCAATGTAAGTTTGCCCTGGCCAGTTTGGCTCAGCGGTTAGAGCATCAGCCTGCGGTCCACAGAGACCCGGGTTCAGTTCCCGCTAAGGGCATGTACCTTGGCTGCAGTTTGTCCCCGGCCCTGGTTGGGTCGTGTGGGTGGCGGCCACTCGATGTGTCCCTTTCACATCGATATTTCTCTCTCTTCCTCTCTCTCCTTCCCGCTCTATCTGAGTAAAAAATGGAAAAATGTCCTCGGGTGAGGATAAAAAAAAAAAAAAAATCAATGTAAATTTTAACGCAACCACTTTAACACATTTACTTTTCTCAGATAAAACTACAGCCTCAACAGTATTAACATCAACAGCAATTTCTGCAACAGAAACATCTGTATCAACACCAATCCCAACGACATCACCAAATCTTGTTATGAAATCAACAATCGGAACGTCTCCTAAAGGTAGGTTTAACACTTAGTGAAATTTACTCTAATTTTAACAAATAAAATTAGTAGCACCTATGTAATTTAATCACAGGAAAATAATTTGAGACCTTATATCTATTGTTATGAAGTTCTGTGCTATTTTACTATTTTGAAACTCCTGTTACTTTGGATTGGATACAGAACCCTAAAAGCTCAGTGATAATGTTCCCTTAGATCACTTCCTGTTTGAGAGTTATCCTATTGTGAAGGTTTCATACACAAAGTTTATTTTTAGAGAATAATGAAATTACCATTTCCTAAATCATAAATATATCTTTCTAAATGTTCTAGTTCTCCACTTAAACAGCACTGGTGACAAAGTGAAACTATATTAATAACAAGCTGATTTTGATAGTTATATTGGGCTGATTATAGCTGTAATCGGGAGGTTTCAGTAGCAATGTTGTCATTATTGTTACTGGACTGAGTGACAACGGTATCATGCTTTATGGCTCTAGGTATTCAAGGGGATTACCTAACCATCCAGGAAAAGTCAAAGAAGCCATTAAGAACATTGAATTAAAAACTCGAGGTTCTCAATCCAATGAATACTGCATGGTTTATCCTGCAACACATAGAAAATGAGGCAGATTATTCAGGTCAAATAATCAATGGAGAGAGAAAAATAAAATTGTTTGTTGATTGCCTCTGGGCAGAAAACCTGGTTAGAAAACCAAGTTCACAGAAAGACCTGGAAATCATACACTCTGATGACTGCATGGCTGAAATCCCACAGCTGTCTTTCTTGCCTTACTATTCTTTATCCACCTTTCATACCAAGCTTGAACACATGCTGAGGACTGATGAGGGCTAGTTCGCTGGGCCTGAATGGGGTAAAATAGTGTTATGAATACAGTCCATTATTTTCAAAATGTTTAATTTTAAGGTGAAACCTTAAATTCCTAGAACTTCTCTACCAAACCAGGGGAAAGCATTACAAAATGAGGGCAGCACAGGGAATTTTATTTCCAGAATATGGTATGGTATAACCTTTATTTTCAATCACAAACTCCAAATAACATGATCAGGAAGCAAGAATCTATGAAGCCTCCAGCCAAGTCCTGCACACTATTTCTATTTGTTTTTTTTAAATGTCTCAGTTCAATTTGTAGAGTTTAAGCTTCTCTCTTCCTCTCTCTCTCTCTCTCTCTCTCTCTCTCTCATCAGCTGAAACTTTGGTATAAAATAACACTAATTTGGTAAGAGCATATTTTTGCAACCAATAACCCCTCCCCTCAAAATAAGTACTGACTTGACATGCAGACCCAAAGGGCCGAAGTTTCACAATTTTTATGTTAACTATTTAGAACTTATGCTTTTTCTTCTTTTTTCTTTCTTTTTTTTTTTTATCCTAACCCAAAAACATTTTTCTATTTGTTGTTCAGATAGAGTGGGAGGGAGAGAGAGAGAAAGAAACATCGATGTGAAAGGGACACATCAAATGGTTTCCGCCTGCACGACCAACCAGGGCCGGGGACAAACTGCAACCGGGGTACGTGCCCTTAATGGGCACCAAACCCAGGTCTCCCTGGGCTGCAGGTCGATGCTCCAACCGCTGAGCCAAACCGGCCAGGGCAGAACTAGGCTTTTTTCAATAAGAAGATCTCTAACCCTGCCAACAATGATTTATGGTGAATAACACTGTCCAAATACTGACACGAGTCCTAACAACTATTTTAAATGACCATGAAAGGGCAGAGGTGGAGGCGGATTCAGTGGAGGAATTTAGACAGAATTGCTATGTGTGATACCAGGAATGCCTCTTACCTTCCTGACTTGATGGGAAACTCTGTGCCTGCTCATGTAAAGCACAACTGAGCTCTAGGAAAGGGACGCTGAAGCCCCCTTCTCTGAAGCAAGTACATCGAATACTTGAGATTGTATGCACACACACACACACACACACACACACACACACTCCTCCTCATTCCTCATTCCTGTGCATGGCCACATTCACTGCTTCATGGTACCCAGATGACAAAAATTAAACTCTGGTCTGTGTTCTTCAAACGTTCTCCAGAAGGGTTTTTAATTATTCACATTCAATTGTAAAAATTGTAATAAGCTGGAGAAGCTTTGTTTTTGTTATTTTTATTATAAAAAATTTTATATACACCCAAAAGTAGAGAGCATTATAGTTAATATCCAGATGTTCATCTCCCAGAATCAATAATTATCAAGATTTTATCATATTTGCTGCATGTTTCCTCCTCCCTCCCTCCCTCCCTTCCTCCCTTCCTTCTTTATTTTTCTTTCTCTTCCTTCTTTCGACTTGGTTGTGAAGCATTTTGAAGGCAATTCAGACTTTATGCCGTTTTACCTCTACATGCTAAATGTGCATCTCAAAAAGCATGGCCATTTATTACAAAGCTACAATGTCATTATGAAATCCCTCAAATTAATGGTAATTTCTTAGAACATCTAATATTGTTTAGAGGGGTTTTAAGAGTTAAAAACCTGGTAATCATGAATACGGCAGTGAAGAGAGGTTAGGAGAAGGAAGAGAGTCGCTTCTGGGGTCTCTCTGGAAAGCAGAAGGGGGAGCTTGATGGGAGCAGACGAGGAAGGACAGGCGGGCTATGATGGCAGATCTGCTCTGATGCAGGGTGAGAAACACGACGTCTGGCGTGGTGGTCGGCATGGGTGGAGCCATAGGCAGCTGGGTGTCCTTAATGCTAAAGGAAAATGAGGAAACAACAGTGGAGAAAGAAGACAGATAAAGGAACTCATTTTTGTCGGGCTTACTTCATCATCATGTGTGTATTAGGGCGTAAGCGAGTTGAAGTATGTATACTAGAGATTGCCCTTGATCCTAAAGGCAGTATCATTAATACACAAACAATGCAAATGATGGGACATTTATCTCAAATTCTTATATTCTAAGCAGTGTATCAGTATAGGTGTTTTCTTTTCTTTTCTTCTCTTTTTAGAAAGAGCGAGAGAAATAAACGTCGATGAATTTGTTTTTTCACTTATTTATGCATTCACTGGTTGATTCTTATATGTGCCCTGACCAGGAATGGAACCCGAAACCTTGCATATTTGGATGATGCGCTAACCAACTGAGCGACCCAGCAAGGGCTTAGATGTTTTCTTAACTTCAGACCTGTGAGGAGATTTACATGTTGGGGAGTTTTATAGAATGTCTCATCCTCCAAAATAATGATCTTTGAATTACGCAATAATATCACAAAAGGCATATCTATAGTGAAGTGATTCCACACTCCCTCCCTTCTTCATGATCAATGTGGTCATTTCAGCCACAATAAAAGTGTTTAACAATAAAAAGAAAAGGAAAGAAAAGCATGCCATGGAGAAGCTTCTTTATTTTCATTGTAAGGCTTCCCAATCAGATTTTCTTGTTTAAAGGTCAAAAGAGAGTGGATTTCGCCCTGGTCAGTGTGACTCAGTAGTTAGAACATTGGCCTGAGCACCAAAAGGTCTCAGGTTCGATTCCATGTCTAGGTCATGTACCTGGGTTTCAGGCTCCATCCCCTGCCCTGGTTGGGGTGCCTGCGGGAGGCAACCAATCAATGTGTCTCTCTTACATCAATGTTTCCTCTCTCTCTGTCCCTTTCTCTCTCTCTCTCCCTCTCTCTCTTTCTTCCTCCCTTCCACTCGCTAAAAATCAATAGAAAAAATATCCCCAGGTGAGGATTAATAACAACAACAAAACAGACACTTGATTTAAAAGTGCTTATGTGTATTCTGAAGCATGTCAATTTTCTTTATCCAGAAATTTTATTATCAAAAAAGTCGAAAATGTGCAAATAAGATGGGAATTCTTACAGCGATGGCAGAGGTGATGGTTGCTCTCAGCGGGTTGCCCGGTTAGGGAGCTAGGCCTGGATCTCTCACTCGATGCCTGTCAAGAGCACTGCCCTTTTGTTCAAAGGCCAGTGGCCAGAGTTACAGAACAACATTTGGCAAACACGGACCAATCATCATTATAAAATGAACTTCTAGGATACAAAAATAAACCTGAAATTTTATTCTTAAAATGTAATTATTTTCCAGCTTGATTTTTGAAACATGTAATAGTGAAAATTTTTTCATTAGCTGAATTACAATGCAGGAATAAAAATTTCTCCGCACTGACACTAAACATTTCTGATACTAAATAGACATTCAGTTTCATATGAGGTCGGTACAGAGGCCGGATACTTTGGCCATCTCTTCCATATGGGCCACCAGCTGTGGTGATGTTTAAGATGCATTTCCTCTCCAGAAACTAACACAATTCTGTAAAGAACAGATATTTAGGAGGCATTTTTGTAACTTTTCTGGTATTATTAGTGGGAAAAATTAGGTTTAGGCACTTTTTTTCCCCCATATCTTTTTTCTCAAATCCATTGTCTTTATATTCCTTGTTAAGTTTGAATTGAAGATGAATTACCTGAGACATCTTTCCACATGATCTATTGTTTTATCCTTTCCACAGAATTCCTAAGTGGTAAAGTTGACATTTTGCTTTTAGTTTATTCTCCCAAGATATGAAATGTTTACACGTTGACATTTTCTTGAAACCCTTGTGTCCTAAATGGAATAGAATACAGTTCTAAGCGGTTATTTTGGAAAGTGTTATGAATGATAGTTTACCAAACAGTTTTACAAAGACTAGAATTCTCCTCTGATTTAATCTTTTATAAACATCTGTTGGCTTAAAATTATATTATATCCCTAAAGGTATATAGCTACAGTACTCTCTTAATGTTCATATTAAATCCAGTCTTTCTTTTATTAACCACTTTAAGTACTTAATCATTGTTTTGCACATAAAATTAACAGAAATATCAATTCTCATTAGTTTCTGTAACTTTTTAATTTTGCAATTATAAAGATGCACTTACACTTCAGAATTTTAACATATTTAGCACATAGTGTTATCAGTGAAAGTAAGAAATCCCCTTCCCCTCTGGGTGCTGGGGTTCTGGTCCACACGATATCTTGAGAAAAAGAATTTTCTGAGACTTGCACAGGAGAATGAGTAATTTTTATTTGTGTGGAATTCCATCTCTCCATTTCTAAACTCTCATTTCCCTTCATCCAGTTCTGGAAGAGGTGCAGCTGGAGATTCAGCAGAGCTAGAAGCAAAGCCAGTGTCCAGAGTTTCTGTTCCATGGAGGAGCTGGTTCTGGTGTAGCGTCAGGACATTGTGTGGAGTCAGGACAAATGCAGGGGAGCCAGAGAGTGCAACCCTGGTAACAAGAATCCCAAGAGTGCAAGCAAGCAAGAGAGCTAACTGCTTTGTGTGGGAGCTCAAATATATCAAATCTTCCCACACTTGCAATAGCCACGCCTACTCTGGCCAATGACCTGTTCCCAGGTGTGACTGACAGGAAAATACCTTCCCTGTATCACCCAGATTTTACTGGGCAGGTGTCTATTCTCCACCCTGTTCAGTTCCTTCCTGCAGTGAGATGGTGGTTTCCTTGGGGAGTGTTAAACTGCAGCTTCCTGGCAAAGCTGCACAAATGAATGCCTGTAAAACTTGGCCTTCCTTTTGCTCCTCTCCAGTTAATTAACAACTGGGTTAAATTACAATGGTATCGATAGAACAATACAAGTTATAGGTAGAAGTTATCCACATTTGAAAGTGAATATTTATACATTAACAATAAATCTAAAATAAAATGTGTCCTGTTTATGTTATAGGTATTGTTATACTGATTAAATATGATGATCATCAGCATGGTCACAGGATCAGTGTTCAGAAATGTACAGCCACTTAAACTCTTCAGTTTTCCAAACCAAGGCTGAAACTGAACCCAAATAGAAAATTTGGGCTAACTACTTGGGCCAAAGCTCAACTCTGTAACATCTCTCTTCTCTCTATCAAACATGAAGTCAGGATATGTATAAAAGAAAAGGGGCAAGGGCTTCAGAAACTCAAAGATTATATACACTTAACATTTTTTCTATTTATATTATCATCATTTTATGTGTCCTGATTATCTCCTGTAATCATCTCTATGTCTTGAATTTCCAAGCAATATATGAGACATGTGCCAGTAAAATAGAATGGCGAGGGGATTCTAAAAATTCAGTTCAGCCTGTTATTGGTACCAAGAGCCTCAAGAGTAGGGATGAAGTGAAAACAACAGCACGGTGTCTAGCTAGAGGGGACACTATTTATATCGTTACATCTTCACTTTAAGGTGTTGGCATCATGTGAGTGGGCAATGCAGACTCTCAAACCTAGTTTTTAGGAATAATGTTTCCTTTGTTGGTTTCTTCTTTTAAAAGATAGCCACATATGAGTGGGGAAAGAAAACCTTTAGAAAGTCTTAAATGCCTCGGTGCACTCCACATTATAATTCAAGAAATATGCCTATTACAGTCACTGCCCATTGCTGTAATAACCCATTTCCCTTAATAAGCAGTGAGGACAGAGGAGTGAGCAGTCAGTGTTTTTGTCCTCAGCAATTTTCCAAAGGTCTTATCTTCTTGTGTTCCTTAGTATCTTTTGATATATAGTTCAAGCCAGCTTACCCCTGAAAACCTTCTCTGGACTAGAGTTTTAAAGCATTAGATAAACTTTGCAGGGCCAAATACTTCCTCCCCCAAGTACAGCATGCATATGGATAAGAACCAAGATTTTATATATGTCACATGGTTAAAATGGGACCTGTGCCCTAATCACAAAAAGAGATTCTAACATGTTTTAAGAAAGAAGGAAATGCTGACTCGTAGTATGGGTATGTAACTGGTAAATGGTGTTCATTAAAGGCAGGCTCTGTCCCTTTGTTGGTCTCCTGTCCTATATGAATGCCCCTTTATCTGAAACAGCATCTACCACAGTGGGCTTATGCCAGGAATTATTCTTGATAACTGCTCAGATAAACAGAGGACTGAGAACTAGACACTGCCCTCTAGAGTCTCAGAGTAGGCCTTGTAGAGAGTGGGCACTCAATGAATGTTTCATAAGTGAACAAATGAATTTATTATAGGACTCTGCAAGTTTCTTTTTGATTTATGTTTATTTGGAAGTCTGAGTGTCATAATTAAATTAACAAAATATTATGTGATTCTTAAAAAAAAAAAATGTATGTTATTCCTAGGTCCTATTGACCAGGTAAATTTGGGGAAAAATGAAATGATATCAAATCATTTACTTTCACAATAATATTTTTATACATTTAAAGATCCCTAAGTAACAAACTGTAATAAAAATTTGTTCTTTGGACTTGTCATACAAAATTGTGTGTGTGTGTGTACACACGTGCAGTATATGACAAAAGGAGTTATAAATGGACAAATTAAAGATAGGCAAAGGCTTACCCAATACCTCTATAGAGGGATTAAAATCCACCTCCAGACTTGACTTATCTTATTTATTCCTTGGCAAGTGAGATGAAATTGTGATTAGTAATACTGTTATCTATCTTATCCAACTAGGAACAACTGACAAGGAATTATTACAAACATCTCCGCTGTCAACACTTTCTTCATTAACCACTACAGTTAAAGGTGACGGTGAGTAATAATGTTTTGCCACCATTTTTCTTTTCTATATATAATTTGCATACCATGTCATATATCAGATTGCATATCCTTTTAAAGTGCACAATTCAGTAGTTTTTGGTATATTTATGAGATTGCGAAACCATCACTACTATCTGATTCCAGAATATTTTCATCACCCCAAAAAGAAACCCCCTTTCTGTCACTAATCACTCTCTATTCCCACCTTCCCCCAGCCCCTGGCAACCACTAACTCACTTTATGTCTCTGTAGATTTGCCTATTCTAGAAATTACACATACGTATAATCACATGATCTATGACTTTCTGTATATGGCTTATTCAAGTTGGCATAATGCTCTTAGGTTCATTCATGCTGTGGTATGTTTCTGTAGCTCATTCTTTTCTATGACTAAATAATATTTCATTGGATTACTATATTTTGTTGACCTATTTATTAGTTGATGGACATTTGTGTTGTTTCTACATTTTGGTTAATATAAATAATGCTGCTAAGAATGTGTGTGCAAGTTTTTGTGTGACCACATGTTTTCATTTCTCTTGGGTGTATACCTTGAATGGCTGAGTCACATGGTAACTCTATGTTTAACTCTTTGAAGAACTAATTTCAAAAACAGCTGCACTATATTACATTCCCACCAGAAATGTATGAGGGTACGAATTCTCCATTTTCTAACCAATACTCGTCTGTCTTTTTCATCATAGTCATTCCAGAGGGCATGAAGTTGTATCTCATTGTGGTTTTGTTTTACATTTCCTGATGACTAATGAGATTGAGCATCTTTTCATGCATTTATTGGCCATTATGTATCTTCTTTGGAGAAATGTCTATTTAAGTCCTTGTTCATTTTTTTTTTCTTTATTGATTTTTTTAGAGAGAGAGGAAGGAAGAGAGAGAGAGATAGAAACATCAGTGAGAGAGACCATTGATTGGTCATCTCCTGCATGCCCCCCACTGGAGATTTGGCCCAGAACTTGGGCATGTGCCCTGACTGGGAATCGAACTGGTGACCTCTTGGTGCATGGGTCGATGCTCAACCACTGAGCCACACCAGCTGGGCGCCCTTGAGTTATTTGTCTTTTTATTGTTAAGTTGTAAGAATTATTTATATATTTTGAACTAGATACTATTGAATAGATAATTTGCAAATCTTTCCTCTCATTTTGCAGATTGTCTTTACGTCTTCTTGCTGGTATGCTTTGAAGAACTAAAATTTCTAATTTTGATGAAGTCAATTTTATCTTTATTTTCTTTTGTCATGTAAAGAAAGCAAAACTTTGCCCATCATAGGTTTTCAGCTGTTACCTGTACCAAAATGACATACAAACAAAAGAAAAAGTTTATTAACACATCATGTGAGAAACCTAAAATAGTAACTCAAAGCAGTGGCTGAGAATTCAGCTTATATGCCATCTTCAACAACAACAACAACACAAAACAATGACTTTGTAAAAACAAGAAAGAATGGCAGGACAAAGGAAAACTGTCAAGACCCCCAAGGGAGGCAAACTGAGAGAAGATAAATATATAAATATATGAAAGGAAACTAACAGACTGAGTTTGTCTGCAAATTCCTCTGGTGCTTTCTCTGGCCTGATAAGAGTCTGTCTCCAGCAAAAGGAGAATTTATATCCTGCCTCTAGGCAGAAAAAGAGAAGCTTTTTCTGCATTTGCTGCTTTTTAATTGCCTTCAGCTTTAAAGTTTTATGTCAAGGAGGCATATTTTGGAGTGACATTCTAGTATTTTTGGGTCACGTGTGCAGTGGATCAAATCTAAGAAATCATTGCTCAACTCGTCACAGATTTACACCAACTTAAACATAGTTTTAGTTTTTCCATTTAAGTCTGATATATGGTATAGGGTAGATATCCGGTTTCCTTCTTTCTCATGTAATTATCCGGTTGTCCTAACACCATTAAACTATTCTTTCCTGATTTTAATTGTCTTGGCACTCTTGATGAAAATCAGTTGGCTATCAATGCAGGGGTATTTTTCTGGACTCTCAAATTTTCTCCATTTATCTATATGTCTACCCTTATCCAGAATCATCACTCTTGATTACCATAGCTTTGCGTTAAGTTTTGAAATCAGGAAATGTGAGTGCTCCAACATTTTTCTTTTTTTCAGGATTATTTTGGCTATCCAGAGTCACTTGAGTTTTCATATAAATTTTAGGATCAATTTGTAGTTTCTGCAAGAAGTCAGTTGAGATTGCGACAAGGATTGCATTGAATCTGTTTGGGAAGATTGATTTGGGAAGTGTTGCCATTGTAACAGTCTTAACTCTTCCAATCCATGAATGTGAGATGCCTTTCCATTTATTTAGGTCTTTTTAAGTTTCTTTGATAATGCTTATAGTTTTCACTGTAGAAGATTTGATCTTCTTTTGCTCAATTTACTCCTAATATTTTATTCATTGTGATGCTGTTATAAATGGAATCATTTTATTAGTTTTATTTTGAATTGATCTACTATATAGAAATACAATTTATTTTCAAATATTAATATTGTATCCTGCCACCTTACTGAGCTCATTTGTTGGTTTTAATTTGTGTGTGTGTGTGTGTGTGTGTTCCTTAGAATTTGCTATATCCAAGATTCACCTGCAAATAACGATAATTTTACTTCTTTTCTAATCTGGATGTCTGCCTTTGATTTTCTTGCTTATTTGCCCTGGCTAGAAATGTCAATACAACACTGAATGGAATTGATGACAGGGGATATTTTTTTTCCCCCAATTATAAGGGAATGCTTTCCATCTTTAATTATTAAGTATGATGTTATTTTGGGTTTTTCATAAATGACCTTTATCAGGTTAAGGGAGTCCTCTTCTATTACTAGTATATTGAGTGTATTTATCATGTGAGGGTGTTGATTTTATCATATATGTTTTCTTACTATATTAAAATTATTATGTGATTTTTATCTCTCATTTTCTTAATATAGCACATGACACTGATTTCTGTATGTGCAACAAGCTTATATTCCTGGGTAAACCCCACTTGGTTATTGCATATAATGCTTTTTATATGTTGCTGGATATGATTTGTACTATTTTATAAAGAATTTTTGTGTCTACACTTATAAGATACAGGTTTATAGTTTTCTTTTCTGGTGATCTTTTTGTCTGATTTTGGTGTGAGGTTAGTGCTAGTCTCATAAAATGAATTGGGAAGTGTTCCCTTCTTTACCAATTTTTCAAAGAGTTTATTAAGAATTATTCTTTAAGCATATATCAGAATTTACCAGTAAAGCTATCTGGTCCTGAGCTTTTCTTTGTGGAAAATTTTGGATTACTATCTCAAACTCTTTATTTGTTATAGGGCTATTCAGACTTTTCTATTTTTTTTCTTGACTCAGTTTGCTAGATGGTGACTTCCTAAGAAGTTGTCCATTTCCTCTAGATTATCTGATTTGTTGGCACTATTGTTCATAGCATTGCTTGATATCCCTTCTTATTTCTATTAAGATGGTAGTAATGTCCTCTCTTTCAGTCATTATTTTAGTAATATGAGTCCTTTTTTTGTTGTTGTTGGTCTAACTAAAGGTTTATTAACTTTGTTGATCTTTTAAAAAAAACTGATTTTTATTGATTTCTCTATTACTTTTACTGTACTTCTTTCCTTTCTAATCTTCAGTATTTTTTTCCTTTGGCTCCCATTAGTTTGCTCTTCTAGTTCTAAATTCTGAAGTTGGCAGGTTAGGATATTGATTTAAGATCTTATTTCATTTTTAATATAGGTGTTTTCACCAATACATTTCCCTCTCAGTGCTATTTCTGCTACATCCCATAAATTTTCATATGTTTCCATGTTCATTCATCTCAAAATATTTTCTAATATCCCTTGTAATTTAATCTTTCACCCACTTCCTATTTAGGATTATATTGTTTTGTATCAACCTATTTATTAATTCCTTACCACTGTGTTTTAAAAAAATATTTTTCTTCTTCTGTGTCCTTACTATCTACCAGAAATTACCTGCCTCCAAGCATCTAATTTTAAAATTAAATTGAATTTAATTGAAAAAATAAATGGTATAGAGACTATTCTAAAGAATATTGTGGATATCCTTGCTCATTAGGCAGAGCACAGTAAGCATGTCTTACAAGTGCTTTGCAATTTTTAAAAAATAGTGCATTTAGTTCTCATCTTGAGACATGTATTATCATTTTTAGGTTGTTTTAAAATTTATATTTAAATATTATTATTTAAAGTTAGGAAAACTGAGTTTCAGAAAGGCCAAATGAGTTAACAATTTTTTAAAAACCCATTAATTTTATAGTAATAAGTTTGAATTTGAAAGCTGGTCCTTTAACTTCAAATGTTTCTTTCTTTTCAAAAAATTCGTAACTAATGATTTATTAATGAATTTATATTATTTTAATCTCAATTTATTACCTGGCTATTAAATAGTGACCCCTTCAGGTATTATCAATAAGGCTCATTTAGCATTGTTCTCCCTCCACCAAGGAGTCACGAAATTCTGTCACTTAGTTTTTTCTGTTTTGGGTGCGTGTTCTTGTTTTTTCCCTGCTTTCACGGCCATCCTTTTGGTGAAATTGTCAGCCTGCTGTGGATGCTCATTTATTTTAAATTACTCCTTTAAGTGGGAGCAACTTACACACACAACAGTAAGAACAACAACTTGTTAGAATTGTGTTTACAAAAGACTACAATAAGTCCAGGTGAAAGGTCATGTTCTTGAGCATAGTGTAAGAACATTCTCTGCACATGAATTTCACAGTAACAATAGATCTTGTTGTTTCTTCCCACACTAATGTTCTTTATCTCACGTGTAGTGTGGATAGGCAAGGTTACCATTTTGGAGCCTCATTCTTTTATTTTTATTTTTATTTTTTAAAATTTTTTTAGTCCTCATCCGAGGACATTTTTCCATTTTTTGTACAGACAGAGTGGGAGGGAGAGAGAGGAAGAGAGAGAGAGGGCAACATCGACGTGAAAGGGACACATTGAGTGGCTGCCACCCG